ATGTTGCAACATACATTCATCCACCGTTGCCATGAAATTTCTTGAAAGCCAACATATGTAATTTTGTTAGATAGAAAGTATAAATTTTTACAAAAGGTAGTTTGAAACCAAGTTTTGATTGTATTCAGATCTAAGAATATAACAATACAAGAGAAACTGGGTTGTTCTGAAATGAAATTATTGCTTTTTTCGCTAATTTCAACTCCTTTCCTCCAGCATCGAGAATGTAATGTGTCAGATAACTGGTAATACACACAGTATTTTGAGTACTTACATACCTAGATTGAAATCACATCTATTCACGTATTCACAGCAAGCAAATACACATGAAAGAAAATTTTCTGTTTTTTAGGATACTTGGGAGAAGCTCTGATACATAATTAATACTGCCTCACTCAACAATCCAAAAACACATATTTATATTCTGTAAACGAATATTAAAATTCATAAATGTAACTACGAATATTCGAAAATGTGCAATTTAGGTGTCTTATGATAGTGAATCAATATTTTCCTGGAGTTTGACGTTCTTATTATCAAACCTAGATGTCGCCCATTACGCGGTGGTAAACTATACAGCACCCATCCATTAATTCCCTATACACGAACATTTCTAGCTCCTCATTTAATTCCGCTCTCACAAAACATAAACATATGAGTTCGGCAGCGAACAGGTAGAAGACTAACGAGGGGCCGCGAAACGGAGGCAGCGCCTACTTGCAGGTCGTCGACCTTTCAAGGTCACCGGTCGTCTGCCTGCCTGCCGTGCCCGGCCTACCATTCGAATTGGCGACACCGGCCGCGGCTTCCTCCTCTGTACCTTAATCCGATTCGATCTTGATCTACTTTGGAGTGTTTACATGCGAAAATCACCGCCCGTTTGTGCATTCGTTGGTGGGTGGTATGTGCGTGTGTAGTCGTGAAAAAATGCCTAGCTGTGCGTTTGTCTCTTTTGGGAGGGTCGTGAAAAAGTTTACATAGTATACCAGGACAGTTTAGAAAGTTCTAAAAGCAACGGCCTTGAATGATGTATACGAGCGTGTTGATCATACAGAGTGTGTTGTAAATAGTAGTTCAACGTAAATGCTTGCGTGCGATGTCTTTAGTAACTATTATACAGGGTGGATCATGGAAGACGTACACCAATGCAGAACTGTCAGAGTAGGAATTCTTTGCAAAACTCCTAAAACACAATCTGATTTTGTCGTATGCGACATATTCTATTCGTATTTATTCTACCCCGGATCTAGTCACATTTAATTGATAATCTTGCCTACAGATTAGAAGTTCTCAAGCGTAAGTCATAATTGTTGGGGAACCAACTGTTTCTAATCAACTGGAATATCTGTTTTTCCGTTAATCAGCTGTCGCTCCCGTACGACAGCTGATTAACAACGACAACTCTCAGAAGTTGAGAAACTTTGCGAGCTAAGGACTAACGAGGTATTTTCTTTTGACGTGTGGTTCCTAATACGGTTGCAGAATCATCCCAGCTTCAACCAGATAAATTCTTTCGAGAAAAATATCTGGTCGAGGCGGGAATCGAACCCACGGCCTTCCGATCGTGAGTCGGGCGCACTACCACCGCGGCCAATTCCACAACAATATACCTGCTTGAACTTTGTGTTTGTGTGTGTGTTTAAATAAAGAAGAATAATAAAAGTCCTAGCTTCAGGGTATGCTTAGGGGCGCAGAAGATAGTCGGAACCTAGAGAAGACCTAGAACTTTCAATAAATAATAANTAATTTTTTGTAGAGAATTTTATGATCTACAATTTTTATCAAAGGTTTTTTATAATAAAACTTACCGTTTTCCTAAAAATCGCGAACAATTTTTTTCAAGATTTTTGACCTTTGACCTGGAAATTTTTTTTTCCAGGCATCGCAATCATTCAGAATTTTAAAATCTTATTTTCAACTATGTTTCGAACAATTACACGCATTTGCAGCTTGTTGTTGATGTATGTACCTTCACTCTAATTTTTTAGTCTAATTTGACCGCACTATATAAGAATTGTAGCGGTGAGATTTGTACACATGTCTTTTGAAGGTTAAGGCTAACTGAAAATCATATGAGTCTAATACTAGCAGCGCTATTTGTGTGTTAGCTACATGTTCAACTCGTCTAGTAAATTGGGAGCATTATTCGTCTCCCCGATCGCCCGATTTGACGCTGCTGTACTTTTTATTATGGACTTACTCCAAACGAAACGTTTATGAAAGTATTCGTCATAGCAGAGAAAAAACAATTCGCAGTTTTGATAAAGAAATGTCATTGATAAAATGTAATCTGGGGTAAGATCAAAATTATCAAGGCATATTTTTAAATCAGACTGTGAATATCGAATTGAATGGAACAAGACGATAATCACCATATTGTGAAAATCCCCAGAAAGGTCGATATCAAAAATGAATTCCCTTATTCCACGATCAGTGTCTGTCATCGTTAATACAAAGAACTGAACCATCAACAAAAAGGAATATTTTGGGGCCGGTTTATTGGGCGCATAATTTAATGAAAGACTTTCCACGGTTGAAAACTGGCACAGGAGTTATTTAAAAACAGTTTTACGTAACAAGAATTAATGTATTAGAAAAAGTTGTAGTTTTTAACTGGGAGGTTATGTTAGGTTATGTCTATTTATTAAATTGTTCTTATGCATCCCATAAACTAACCTTAACTTGTAATTCTTGTCTAAAGTTATCAGTGTTGAAGTCTATTTCATCAATTATATAACGTTTTGTAAAAAAAATCCAAATCTACGAGCACATAAGTTTTGGTTGTGGATATCAACAACTGTTTTCTGCATTTCCCTTCCTCGTAGTCATCCAATCACGTATATCGCTTTAATAGTCTCGTCCTTTATCGTTGGAAAACAAAATAATCTTTCTCATTACAAAATATTCAATGTGAAAACGACTTTTATCAGTCGATTCCGGGAATGTTAAATCATAAACACTTTATGAATCATCCGTAAACAGCTTCAGCTTCAACCGCATATATCGAGAAATCTTATCTCGTTTCATTGTTCTTTTGTTAGTCACAAGTAGGTATTTCGAGTCGATTGATAAACTTTTGTGTTGCATCGTGTTCCGTAATAGAATATGTTGATTCAGATATGGAATTGTATGAGAATTAGTATTTGACGAAACCGTCTTACTCACTTGACTAACACCTTATTGTCAGATTTTCACTATACGAGGGCTGTTCAAAGAATAAAGTGAATTTTCGTTTTTCTCAAAAAACATTTATTCGTTCATCAATTTCTATATTTTCCCCGTCAAAGTAGTCCCCTCGGATCTAGTAAACTTGTGCCGGCATTTTTTCTAATCCTCGAACTAGCTCTGATATGCACTTTTTGGTATGTCCTTGAGCTCTCTCAGCGATTCGGTGTTTATCTCCTCAATCGTCGGAAAACGCCGTTCTTTCAATCTTAGCAACAGAAAGAAGTCGCAGGGGGCAACTTCAAGATAATAGTCTAGTCAACAAGTTCAAAAACATGAAAATTAGAGATAAAGGTCCTAAAAATATGAGCGATAGCTCATTCGATTCGGGATCACCTCTAGAAAAATGTTTTTGAAGGATTTTGGTGCAGGTAAAAAATTGCAATCGTCATTAACAAAATAGGAATGAAAAAAATGTCATTTAGTTTTTCGTTAATAACTCAAAAAATATTAATATTTGAGCAAATTTGAAAAAAGCTCGTTAATGAGGAGGACATTTCCGATAAAAAAGTCCCGACTCTCGAAACTCATCTATCTCTCTTTAGCGGCATGCGCGCGCTGCCGCTAAAGAGAGTTTATCAAAAGAAATAATTTTTTTATAACATAAAATGTCATTTTAAAAATTTGAAAAAATATCTAGTATCTTCTTAACACTTGAATNTCAAATGTTTAAAATGACATTTTATGCTATAAAAAATTGATTTATTTTGATAAACTTTCTTTAGCGGTAGCGCGCGCATGCCGTAACAGCCGCACGGAAAGTAATGATATTTTTTGAGTTATAACGAAAAACTAAATACCATTTTTTTAAAATCTTATTTTGTTAATAACAATTGCAATTTTTTACCTGCACCAAAATCCTTCAAAAACATTTTTCTAGAAGTGATTGCGAATCGAATGAGCTATCGCTCATATTTTAAGGACCTTTATCTCTATTTTTCATGTTTTTGAACTTGTTGATAAGACTATAATACTCCTTATTGACAAAACGACCATGTGGCAAGAACTTCTGTTACTCTATGCCACAGTAATCGAAGAAAACATTGAGCAAAACCTTGACAGTTGACCCAATTTTTCGCATTATTTGCCATCGCTATTGGAATCATTACACTGAAAAAAGTCTGCGTTGCTATCACACTTGTTATTATTATTAGTACCTGTCCAATGACGCCACATTTTAAACAGATAACAAAAATTTCAAGCAGTTATAACTGCACCAATATCAAATTTCAACACTCAAATCGCGATCAGTTCCTGAACTGAACACGACGGCGATAACCATCCCCGCATTCCAGATTTCTATTCGTCACCGTAACATGACTTCAAATTCAATTTTATGACTCTTCAGCCAATCATAAAATTCGGTTAGCAAAAATTATCCAATACGAACCGCTAATTTTACAGTTCACGTGGACTAGTTCGCTGCCGGTTCATGTATTGGTTGTTTTGGCCTTTGATAGTGCCGCCAACTTAAGATTGCACATTATCGTTTACTTCGACTATACCAACAAGTACCAGACTCAGCAACTTCGTAAATACCGTTAGTAATTTTTATTGGAGCAGTTGTACAGCTGTGTTTTGAAAATTGATAATATTAGTGTTATATGGTGATATAACAATAACATTTATTTATTTCATTTATACAGTCAATAGTCTGAAACGTTTGACGCAAGACAACTCTCTAAGATATAAGAGTACAAATAAGGAAGGCCCCAGCACAGATCCTCGTGGTACACTCAAGCAAATATTAATGTTCTTTTGTTTTCTTCTTGCAGACAAACAACGGCGGAGGTTCGAGCATCCGACCGACAGCGGCAGCTAATTCCTTCGGCGGCGGGGGTTCCAACAAGGGGTGCGCAGGCGGGCCGATGGCCACCCAGACGCCGGGGGTGTACCGCGGTCAGTGGGGGAACGTCGGAGCCGGGCATCAGCATCCAGCGGCGGCGGCGGGCCACACTTACTACCATCGGTACGCGCCTCAGCAGCAGCCGCCCCCGCATCCCCAAACGGCCGTCTCGCCGGCACAAAATTCCTACACGCCCAGCAGTACGACGAGCAGCACCAACTATAATTCGAATTCGGTAAGTCTGACTTGGGCCAGTGCAGAAGGCTGTTAGAAATGCTAGAAAGTAAAAATTTAATAACGGCGTTATAATAAATTAGAATATGATTTGGTGTTGGGAAAAATCTCCAGTAATATTCATTACTATACCAAATGTTCCAAACAGTACATCACAAGTCGGTTAATCTTATTAATTTTTCAGTTGTTTTTTTTAGGGTCTTCAAATCAATTTATATTATATCAGACAATGGAAGTCCGAACTGATAAAATACACCACGAAACATTGTCAACCACCTTCAAACAAACGTAGAAAATGTTATGCCAGACACCACTGGATTGAACCTTTTTTTTAGTTGCCTCTTACAACAGGCAAGGGTTACTGCAGTGTTGCCAAGCAAAATTCCGCTACATTGCTTCATATTCCATTACGCTTGTATATCTGACGCAAATAAGTTCGCGCATGGGCCTATTCAAAGTTAAATACTACAGAACTTACAATATAGGGTACAGTTGCGAACAATACATTGAGCTCTTGAACAAACATTCGCGACAGGTCTAATCCGCCCTTTTAAGTTGGAATCAGACAACCATTGTTGAGAAAAAGTTTGTTTTCCAGACTTTTTGTCCTTTTTAACATGTCCTGTTCCCGTCAATTTCAACTACTGTAGCTCTTTCACGGGAACTACAATCAGATGAAGTATTTTCCATTTTCACTGTAAGTTGTTCCATATAATATATAATACTCGAGACATTTAGTTTCAACATAATGCCTATCTTCTAATAAATCGAGTTGGATTTTAAATCCCTGACTCTTTCGTGCTCTCTGCCTGTGATATAGGCCTAGTTTCAAAATATTGGAGGTTATATGAAACAAAATATTCAAAAATCTTCTTCTCTTTAATCATTCAACGTCCTCAGCTACTGAGACATATTGACTGTGCTTTCAATTGTCAGATTCGAGTGCTGTCCACTGCCTCTTCTTCTTCCAAATTTTTTTCAATATCAGTTATTTGTAGCTACGCCGCTACCGTTGAGTAAATTCCGCTACGGTAGCGTTATTCCGCTATGGTTGACAACACTGGGTTACTGCGGACTTATCCTAACCCCCCACCTACAGTGTCGCAGCGGGAGGTACCCTTCTTCGTCAACTTTTCTCCCTCAGCCCGTCCGGTTTGGGAGGTCATACAAGTAGCTACGAGGGTAGTCAAAACAACAAAGATACAATACTTTTTTTCAAAAATGTTTTATGTTTTCAACATGGTCCCCTTTATACACTTCTCCCAGCGATGCCCCCATCTCTGTAACCCGCCCAAATGGACGTTTTTCTCTACAAAATAATTGTTAACGAAGGTGATTGTCTTTTCATTTGACGAAAATAGCTGTCTTCCGAGCGCAACTTTTGGATGAGGGAACAAAAAGAAGTCGCTTGGGTTTAGATCTGGTGAGTGAGGTGGATGGTTAAGTAGTTAAAACCGTAATTCGTAAATTTTCGCAATGGCAACCGCTGAGGTGTGAAACGGTGTCTTATCTTGATGAAACATGATTTTCTTTTCCTGCAAATAAGCTCGTTTCTCTCTAAGCTCTGCCTTTGGCTTATCAAGCAATGATTCGTAACATGCACCTTTAATATTTTTTTAGATAATCGATTAAAATACCTCCATAACTATCCCAAAAAACAGCAGCCATCACTTTCCCAGCCGAAAAAAGCAGTTTTCGTCGGTAGTTGCTGTTTTTGGGCCTCCCGAACTTTCAAATTCATCTGCCTAAAATTTCACTGTGATAAATCATGGTGCGGAGTCCCCATACACAGAATCCAACTCATCTCATTGATTTGCGTAGGCGTATGCTGCTTTCAAAAACAAATATTTGATGACAGCTTGATACTCGATTTTGTCATGAAAATGTCCCACCACCACGAGAAGGTGGTGGTGCATCGTCATCAATTATCATCAAGCTTGAACTTCAATCAGGTTTTCCTCTACCATTATAATATTTTGTTATTCGAACATTAACCAAATAGCATATATTTCAAGTAGGAGGCGTTTCCTGATTGTTTTGTGCCCACAATGATAATTTGTTATTCTGTACGTTGATGAAACGCAATTGTGTCATTCAGTTCGGTAACTTATCAGTTCGAATAATTGTTATAGGTTTGGAATTATTTAATCAACCTCTTTTCATTAAATAACATTTTCGACGAGTCAATTTGACATAGGTTATTTAGGATTCATATAGCATTCGTATCTTCATTATGAAAAGTGAAAAAATGTTCAAGGTCCTCCCCTATCACTCCATCTGGTGCTTAAATCAGGAAAAGGTAAGGTAAAACGGAACGCACCGTATCTTTCTTCCATGCTTCACTGCTAGATGGCGTGCTAAGCATTCGTTGCTAGGGATTCACAAATATTTTATTGTCTTTTGATAGAAATTCAATTTATCAAGTTATGTTGTTGAAAACCCAGATAAAATTCAATGTTTGATTATTTGCTAATGTGATATGGTTAACGTAGTTTATAATTCCGTTGACGTTTCTGGTTATCTGGAAATGATTGGGGAACTTCATGATGTCCTGTATTTTTATCAATTGATATTGTGATTTTATGAAATGTGGAAATTTATTGCAAGTGGAAAAATAGTTCTTCGCACAATCGATAAAATACCACATTTTATTCAGTGGAAAAGTATAATCGCATTTGAAGTAGACTGTGAAAAAGTGACGAAGGCCCAGGTCAATAATCCGGTATCATAAAGTCAATAATCCGGAGATGTGGTAAAGTAACCCTGCGACGCTCCACGTCGACCACCTCTCAAATTATAGGAAATAAAGCTATTTGAGTTTCTGACTACTCATATTTTATCATCTAGTGACAAACTGTTGAAAAATATCAATTCCTTACCTTTGTCGCAGGATGTACTTCGTCAGGTGCTTTGTTTATAAATGATTTCGTTTCATCTGGGATGAGAGTTTTACCATTGGTTCTATATTAACATTGAAAATTGTGTCCAACGGTGATTTATATTTTTCAGCTAATTTGAAACAATATGCTAGAATAATAACTCACATAACAAGTTCGGAAAATATAGTTGTTTAGTCGAGTAGNAATATTATTATTATATTTTTTGTAGAACGAATATTTTAATTTTTATTTATGTTAAATAGTGAAATTCTAATAGAATTGGAAATGAAATTACAATTAAGTAAAAATAAAGCAAAAAATTAAATTGAAACATTTCTAAAGAATACAAACGAAGTTACTTCACGACGTTTCGATTGTTAGTATCCACAACTGAATATTCCTCTATTCCAACTGACTATTCCTGTGAGACATGACCATTCATAGGTCATTCGAGCGCTTTCACTTATCCCCTTTTCCCTCTCTTCGCTCCACCGGTTTAACGGGAGTTGACCGTTTTTTCGCTTGATTACAGGTTTTCATATGTTTCGTATCTCTATGCTAGCTTATTTGAATGAGTAGTTGGACAACATTTATGCAGCTTCTTTGAACTTCCTCTTGAACTTGCACTTTTTTGCCTATTTTTTTGAATTGTAATTTCGTTTCATGTTTTATTGCTGAATATATTTGATATTTTTAGCTACTCATTTCAATTTCACTTGTTATTTTAGAGAGTTCAAATCATATTAGAATCGTATTAGACAAGGTAAGTCCAAACTAGTAAAATTCACGAACTCATATTCTTGTTCTTTCGCTAATCCATGAAAATAACCGCATATGGCAAAGAAAAAAATGTTTTTTCATCAAGATAACGCACCGTTTCACAAGTCAATCAAAACAATGGCAAAACTACATGAATTGAACTTCGAATTGCTTCCATATCCACCGTATTCGCCAGATTTTGCTCCCAGCGACTACTGGCTGTTCGCAGACCTCAAACAAATGCTCACCTGTAAGAAATTTCGCTCGAATGAATAGGTTATTGCTGAAGAGATAAATTCTCAAGGCTTACTTTGCGAATGAAAATAATTCAAGCACAACTGCAAAGTTATGAATTTGCTCGGCCTCAAGGTAGTGAGTTATAAATTAGGTCAACTACGATTGGTTCAAAGGTGTACGTTATGAGTCATTTCGGCTACTGACTCAACAGGTAACTGTCATATAGTTGAATGTTTTTTTAATAGTCGTAGAAAAAGTCCATTCGTTTGTGTTTCGAAAAGTAATTACAGAAATTCCTATTGAAAGTTCATTGAACATTCAACGTTCGACAAACTCCTTGATGATTCATGCTCTTATTGCATTTTTTTCGTTTAAATTCATGTCACGATGATGATTGTGTCGATGGGAGCATTTTGTAATACGGTGCCTTATCGATAATAATTCCCAGGAAAAGCTTTACACTCGGCAATATCTTTTTATCAGTGAATTAATGAGCGATACCGCATATTGCAATACAAACTCTCGTTGAAAACTATTGATGTTATCAATTATATCCGAAGTTTATCTGCTATCTTATCAGCTGAATGGCTACTCCGTTCAGTTTCATCATTTCTCTAACTCAGTGGTGCAAGTTACAATGTCTGGAGTCCATTAGCCTGGGCTTAAATGCACGTCAAGGTAAGGGATTTTCTTGTTTAGTCATTCACTGGGACATTTTTGGCCGAAGAAAGTTCTAGAATCGGGAAAAAACAAAAAATTCTTTGAGTTTTCATTTCTTCGGGGTTTCCCCCGTGGAAATAAACTAATTTTAATATTCAACTACCTGTGAGCAGCTGTTCGATGCGTCAGCAATGCCGATAAATTAAGATGAATCAACTTCCTAGTCAACGAAACCAACACTATCGAGTGTAGTTGATAACGAATCCATTTTTTGTTATTGAGGAACGATAATCTGAGTTTATTTTGTTTAATATGTTCTTAGATTTTGATCGCTATCGTTTCATACGAGGGGGGTTCCATAAGTACTCGCCCCAAAGAAGAAAACACAAAAATGTAGGAAAAAAGTATTTTTTTTTCAACAACAGCAGCAAGGAGACTTGCTGCTCTATACACTTTCCCCAGCAACATTCAATAAGTTCGATACCGTATTTCTTTAATGTCATTTTGAAGTTCCTGACGAATACTTCACAGGTAAAGGAAAACGGCTTATTATTTGTCACATCGGCAATGAGAATGGGTTTGTTGCTGAAGGGCTGTGGTGTTTCGAGTCGAAGAAAACTGGAGATTATCACGAAGAAATGAACGGTGAATCTTTCGAACAGTGGTTTTC